ATTTTAGTACATCAAGTTAAACTAAATGAAAATGAGAAATGTTGATTTTATTTCTTTAGTAGTTTTAGTTTTTTTAAATAGTTTTATTTTTATTTCAGTGTTAGTTTTAGTTATTTTAGTACATCAAGATAAACTAACAAAAAAAAAGAAACGTTTGCCTTTTTAGTAGTTTTAGTCATTTTTGTTGTGTTTTTGTCATTTTTGTTCGTTTTTTTAAATATAGTTCTTATTTTTTATTTCAGGTATATCTTGTTATTTCAGTTGAATGAACATAAAAAGTAGCTAAATTAAAATAAATGTAAGTTATTTTTCAGTTAAAGTTTATTTTATTTAATTTCAAGTACTAATTTTTTATGGTTTAAGTTGACTTGCAAATGCAATTTAATGGTATCACAATTAATAACTAATTTATTTAACATATATTTATCATATTTGCAGATGTTGGGATGACACTGATAATATGAACATCTGGTGGATCATTAAAGGACCAATCACAGTATCCCTGTTTGTGAGTTATGATGTTATTGCATGTCATATTTTGAGATTGATAAAGTTTAATCACATTTATCAGCAGAAGTTCATCAGAAAACTTACATGAGACTTCCCCTGCTCTTCTGTTAGTAATCATCTTCCTCTCTCTGTCTGTACGTCTGTCAGGCTAATATCATCATCTTCCTAAATGTGATTCGGATCTTGGTTCAGAAATTAAAAAGTCCTGGAGTTGGAGGCAATGACACAGGTCACTTCATGTGAGTCTAATATTAATGTGCAAGAAATGCTGAAAAGGTTAAGTGATTTACTGGCCCAAGTTAAAAGAATTGTAGCACAAATGTAATCTTTATTTGCTACATAGTGAAAGCCAATTCTAAACCCTGCATACAACACACACCAGTTTTGACAAACAGTTTATGTAAGTTATGATTGTTCCAGATGAAACCTGGTTAATGTAGAATCAGACAGATGGCATGTGTTAATGTGAGTGAAACGTATATATCTTAATTTCTCTGCAATGTCTGTTCATTAGGATACAGCTATACACGCTGCCAGGTCGTGCTTCATGCATGAATAATATTTATTTTGACAGTTCACGCTAGGGTGCATTTTTAGGTTCTGTTGTGTCTTAATACCTGTATCTCCTGATAATGTGATATATATGCAAAGACGAAGAGAAATTGCATTTAGCCCATTATCAAGAGGCTTATTCGTTTCTGAAAGCACAGATCTGTCTTGCAAATTTGATTCTGTGCCATTTAACTTTATATTGGCTCTGGGCTTGACCTTGATATTTGAGGGATTTTTGCATTAAAATGAAATAATCTTTGTTTTATGCATGTTACAAAAAAGATGATACAGATCTAGCTGTGCTCTGAATTGTTTGTGTGAAGGCATGAATTCTGATTCATGATACATTTTTGATAATCACACAGGAGACTGGCCAAATCCACCTTGTTTCTGATTCCTCTGTTTGGGATGCACTACACTCTGTTTGCCTTCCTGCCAGAAAACACGGGGGAAATAGTCCGGTTTTACATCGAACTCGGTCTGGGCTCTTTCCAGGTACTCATGAATTCATTTATTTTTGTAGAAAATGATCTGCTTAGTGT